ATGCTGCAGAATTAACAAAAAGTGTTACTCTAGTAAATTTAGTTAGCATTAATCTAGGAAATCTACATAGTATTTTATCTTTAATAGTAATCTATGTAAATTATATGGTAATCTATATACTAATCTAGGAAATCTATGTAGTACAGTAAATACTATACAGTATATAGTATAGCATATCTTCTAAAGAAAAAAATTGTTGTTTTATCAGGGACTATATATAATCAGACTGGTAGTCATATCAAAGATATAGAATTTTACTATCCACAGTAAAAAAACAGGTTAAAAACATTTAACTCAATCTTCATACTTAGGTCTAGCCTGTGATAGTCATCCAAGAGACAAAACATTTGCAAAACCATTCTAAGTCCACAGCTGACATGGTTTTTATATGCCATGTTGCTAATAAAGCTGCTAATCTCTTGAGTTATATGGTCATCCTTTGGGAATCCCTATAGTGTTGATTTGTAAAGATATTAAATACAGACCATTTTTTAATATGGTCTTTTACAAAGATAACAAAAATCTTTGTAGGTCTCTGTCAGGGATAAATTTACTAAATTATGCAGAGCACCTGAGTTTTATTATTTAATGAATTGAGGCTAGCTATACACAGGCACTCCAACCCACAATTCTCACTGGGTTTTAGGACACTGAACTGGTTTTTTGTAATATACAATTTACATGGGCTAAGCAGATAACATCTCTACCCCTGACATGGGTTACTAACATCAATTTAAAAGACTTCACATCTAACTTTGTATATGATTTAATTATTAATATAACAAATAAACCTAGCTCTCCACATCTCCAATGTGAGTGATATCATTTCTTTAAACAACATAAAATATTTTCCAGCTTCTCAAGATACTATTGCCTTTTGCAAGTTCATTAAATAGTTCTGTTTCCAAGCTCTAAAAATGGGTTTAATACATATGACATCAGAAAAATATCAAAAAAAAGGGTAAGAGAATCATGATGGCTGAAAATAAAGTAATTAGCCTGTAAATATTGGGTTGTCAGCAGTCATGACGCATTTTTGCAACGAAAAACAGAAAAAATATGTCATGACTTTTCCAACAATTCAATATATAACAAGTTTCAGCTATTTGGCTTGGAGTTTACTGTTGTATCATCCTCAAAGCCCCAATCTAGCCCTGATATATAAAATATATATCAGGGTGTGGTTGGAAAGATTGCCTGGAGACAACATTGTAACCAACCAGGTTATAAGCTTTGAAATAACCTTAAGTCATGGATGGAGTTCACACTTTGTCTTTGAAAACTGTTAATAACAATATCACACAAAGATGGTAAAGTCCATAAATGATGTGCTTGCTTCCTCCCCAAACCACATCAAAATTACAACTAAACTACAGAACAATCATTACTGAGAACCACCTAAAGACTAGTTGAACAAAACTCTTGTAACTAAAAATAAACAGAAGAAGCCACGTGGAGACTGGTAGGAGGGGCAGAGATGGAACAGGTTGGTCGCACACCCATGTGTGGCAGTTAAAAATCAGGAGGGATATCTCGGCTGCGGAGGTGCCCACTGTGGAGTGAGAGGTCCCAGCCCCACCCCAGGTTCCCCGGCCCAGAGCTGCAGTGCCAGGAGGAGAACACCCCATAAATTCAGGCTATGAAAACCAACGACAATTGTGGTTGAGTGAGATGGAGGGCTGCTGAAGACCCAAGCATTTTCTTAAAGGGCCTGTGTACAGACTTACTCAGTGACAGACTCGCTGGCTCTGAGCTCTAGCATGAGGGCAGGAGCTTGAAAAGTGCCAGTAACATATGGAGAGAAACTGAACTGTCTGGCGTACGGCGAGGGCTGCAGGGGCATCTTTCTCCCAGACAGAAGTGCTGTTCAAATCCACTGTTCTTTTGCTGAGCCCTCCCCTCACCTAGCCTGCAGGGGCCATATCAGTCTCCATCAATCTGGCTAACACCATTTATCTCAACCTGCTTATTCACTGAGACCCCAACCCACCCAACATTTGGGCCCACCTAAGCCACATCCAGTGGCTTTCTCATACAAATGACCTGTCTTGGCTCATGCTGTGGACTTTCCTAAAATCTCTCAAAAGTCTACACACCCTAAACAAGCAGCTTCTGGCCGTGGTGTACCCCATATCCATGGGTAAGTCTCCCCAAGCCTGGCACTAGTGGCAGTCAGCCTCGGTTCGAAGCTTAGCTTCTTGCAGGCACCTCCAAGCCCAGAACAAGCAGCAACCATCTGCAGATCATTTTGTCACACATACCAAATGGCCCCGGACAGGGCACAGGTATCCTCTGAACTTGGCCTGCACCAGAGCCCCTCGCAAGAGGCTCCAGAACCAGCACACTTAGTGGCCAGCTTTAGACCACAACAGAGCACCACTCAACCACCTCTACAAACGACACACCCAAAGAGAAGACTCAGCAGATACCAGAGTTCCACTAAAGTGAGTCCTGAACAACAGCTCCTTGGCTGTAGTCACGGTCAGTCCTCACAGACAATCAGCCTGAGGATCAATCCCTCCTGTTGTTGTGCTAACAGCTATCATGGCTCAACTACAACAAGAGGGCACACACAACCCACACAAGGGACATACATGGAGCACCCGGTTCAGACGACCAGGGAGACTACGCCATTGAGCCCCACAGCACACCTACTACTTAAGAACACCAGGCAAAGACTGGGAGATATAGAAGATCTACCTAATACACAGAAACAAACACAAGGAGGCAGCCAAAATGAGGAGACAAAGAAACATGTCCCAAATGAACAAAACAGAAAGAAGTTCTAAGAAAAGAACTAAAAAAAAAAATGGAGATAAGCAATCTACCAGAGGCAGAGTTCAAAACAGCGGTTATAAGGATGCTCAGTGATCTCAGGGAGAACTTCAACAAAGCGATAGGAAACAAGAATGGAGATAGAAAACATGAAACAGAACCAGTCATAAATGAAGAATACAATAACTGAAATAAAAAATACATTAGAAATCAACAAATTAGAATCAGCGATTTGGAAAATAAGGTAGCAGAAAACACCCAATGGGAACAGCAGAAAGAATCCAAAAATATGAGGATAGTTTAAGGGGCCTCTGAGACAACATCAAGTGTACCAACATTCACATTATTGGGGTACCGGAAGGAGATGAGAAAGAGCAAGGAATTGAAAACCTATTTTGAGAAATAATGATGGCTTTCCTAATTTGGCAAAGGAAATAGACATACTCGTATAAGCCCAGGAAGTGCAAAGTCCCAAACAAGATGAACCCACAGAAGCCCACCCACACCAACACATCATAATTAAAATTCCAAAGGTTAAAGAAAAAGAGAGAATCTTAAAAGCAAAAAGAGAAAAGCAGTTAGCTACCTACAAGGAAGCTCCCATAATATAATCAGCTGATTTCTCAACAGAAACTTTGCAGCCCAGAAGGGACTGGCAGGAAATATTCAGTGATGGAAAGCAAGGACCTACAACCAAGATTACTCTACCCAGCAAAGCTATTACTGAGAATCAAAGGACAGATAAAGAGCTTCCCAGTCAAGAAAAAGCTAAAGGAGTTGATCACTTCTAAGCCAGCATTACAAAAGAAATGTTAAAGGGGCTTCTTTAAGAAGCAGAAGAAAACAAATATATATATGAACAATAAAATGGCAATAACTACATATCTATTGATAATTACTTTAAATATAAATGGATTCAATCCTCCATTTAAAAAGACACAGGGTGGCTAAATGGATAAGAAAACAATATCCTTACATATGTTGTCTACAAGAGACACATCTCAGATCGAAAGACACACACAGACTGAAAGTGAAAAGATGGAAGAAGATATTTCATTGAAATGGAAACAAAGAAAATCCAGGGTAGCAAAAGTTACATCACACAAAATAGACTTTTAAAAAAAGGCTATAACAAGAGACAGAGAAGAACGCAGCAATTCCACTTCTGAGCATTTATCCAAAGAAACTCAAAACACTAATTCAAAAAGACATATGCATCCCTATGTTCACTGTAGCGTTATTTACAGTCATCAAGATATGGAAGCAACTTATCTGTCCATCAACAGACGAATGGATAAAGAAGAGGTGGTACATATATACAATGGAATATTACTTGGTCATAAAAAATGAATCTTGCCATCTGCAACAACATGGATGAACCCAGAGGTTATTATGCTAAATGAAATAAGTCAGACAAAGCAAGTCAAATATCACATGATTTCACTTATATGTGGAATCTAAAAAACAAAATAAACAAACAAACAAAACAGAAACAAACTCATACAGAGAATATTTTGATTGCCAGATGGGAGGGGTTTCAGGGGATGGGTGAAAAAGGGGAAGGGATTAAGATGTGCAAATTGCCAGTTATAAAAACAGTCATTGAGATATAAAATATAGCATAGGGAATATAATCAATAATATAACTATGAATAGTGTTAGATGGGTACTAGACTTGTAGGAGTCACTTAGTAAGTTATATAAATGTCTAATCAGTATGTTGAACTCCTTAAACTAATATACAATAATACTGTATGTCAATTGCAATTGAAAAATAAGAAGTTATTTAGAAGAAAAAACAAAATAATATCGGGCATCTCTCTTCTCCCTGTTGCCTAGACTCAGGTTCTATCTTGAATGAGATTAGGAGAAAGGGATAAAATGTTTTTCATAGGTATTTCCATATTTATAGTTTGACAGGCCATGGTAGGAAGTGGATGAAGACATGGAGTAAACCCATCTTTTGATTGTATTAAATATTTTCAATTGTATTTATTTTATTTTCCCCAGTTTTTCATATTATTGCTATCTCTTCTCCATTTATGTTAGGAGTTGAAAAATAATCATTTAATAGGTGGCCAAAAGGTAAGCCATCTCTAGTCAGGCTTGCAAACGAGTTCCCTCTTAGACACGGTACTGGGTTCAAGGTTACCACCCACAGTGGCAGTGCAGTAAAGGAAGACCTGCCACGTGGGTGACTGCACCCAGGCAGAAGGCTAACTCACCTTGGCAAGCTCCAGTGCGGACATTAGGGATGAAGCCCCGTCGGCAGGGCTGAGGCTGGGCGGGACACATCTCACAGGGGTGGCCCCAGGCCCTCCCGATGGTGGCACAGCACAAAGTCTTCGTGCAGACAATGCCTGTCAGCTGCCCTTGGCACATTTGGTTGTTGACCTGAGTGAAACATGGGCCTGTCCTGTAATCTGGAATGCGAAAGAAGACAAAAAAGACAGGTTTCATGATCACACACCAATCTCACACCAATACCTCCAAATAAATAAAACAGAGGCTATTTCTTCTGACTAAAATGTCTAAAGACAAAAGTTTCATTTTGAAAATACATAATTTTTCAATTGTGAGACTTCAATGTAGCCTACACTGGATATTGTACATGGGGGTGGCTCAAGAGCTGTGTCTGGGACACAGATGTGTTTTCTTGGCCCACATAAGGTTTTAAAAGAATTTAAATTGGTAGCCAACATTTTTAAATTAGGAAATTTCACATGAAATTTGTATTTATGGCTTTTCTTGAGAAGTTGGAAGTTCTGACCGTGCTGGGCCAGCCATGTTACATGGCAGTGGGGGAGTGAAACGCACCCTCTCTATGATACCCTGCCACCCCTTCCTCCCAGCACAGTTCATGCATTCAGATTCCCCACCTGTGCCCTGATGACACCTGCTTGAATGACTTCTTTTCCCAGCAAAGATCTGCTTTCCAATAAGGTGGACACGAGTTCAAAAAATCAAAACAGAACCAATGAACATATATCCTTCCATATTACAATTATATTATTGGATCAATCTGGTCTATTAACACTTAGTTCTAACAATTTGATTTTTGTTTCCATGTCTGTCTGTTTAGTTCTCTGTGGAGCTCAGCTAGCTAGAAAGACAGTACTAATAAAGCCCAGAGCCATGGATTCTTTCCAGGTTAAGTTAATATTATAGGATTGTTGTTCTCCAGAACATGACTGTACCAGAGTCCAGCTCTGTGATGATGATGATAAAAACATTAGCAAATGTATGTCACATATGATCTACAGGCAGACTCTTCTATGAATACGAAGGACAGTCTATTTTGATGCCAACATCTCCAAGTATAATCCAAGGACCAGCAACATAGGCATCACTTGGGAGCTGGTTAGAAATGTAGACTCAGGTCCCTCCCCAGACTCACCAAACTAGAACCTGAATTTTAACAAGAAATTCAGGAGATCATATGCACCTTACGGTTTAAGAAGGATTGATCTAGACTGTGGGCAACTTGAAAGCTAGGCATTTTACTCTACTCTTCTTCCCTCTATAATTTACTTCAATGAACCTTTTAGAGCCGCGGTTCTCAACCTTCCTAATGCCGTGACCCCTTAATACAGTTCCTCATGTTGTGGTGACTCCCAACCATAAAATCATTTTCGTTGCTACTCTATAACTGTAATTTTGCTACTGTTATGAATCGTAATGTAAGTATCTTTTTGTTTTCTGATGGTCTTAGGCGACCCCTGTGAAAGGGCCGTTCGACCCCCAAAGGGGTCGCGCCCCACAGGTTGAGAACCGCTGTTTTAGAGGATCAGTATATATTCCTTTAAGCAGGACTGAATCATTAACTATGTAGTTTTCAATTTGAGTGTTGTTGTTGCTGTTGTTTTGAGAAACACAGGAAATCAGAGAAAGGTCAGTTTCCTGAAGGTTGACCAATTAAATGATTCACATTTGTTATAAAATTACAACAGAAATATGTGAAGAGTTTTCCCCCACCCCTTCACAGAGACTGCATGCATATAGTTTAACTTGGGAATGTAAGATGATAGCCAGGATTTCCTGATAATAAGCCCTAATACAAATAACCTTGTTCCATTTGAAGGGGACAGCCAGAACAAGTTTATTTGAGATTTTTATAAGAGAAAAACAATCTTACATTCAAAGGAGAAAGAGTTAATAATGTTAATGAGAGTATTATAAAACATTGTTACTGGGAAAAATTAAACTTGGATATAATTTAACATGTAAAATGCTAAGCCACAAAGACTTAGATATCATCTAAATGCTATAGTATGACAAAAATACAACTTAAAACTACATAAAACTTCTATTTTTTAATGAAGTATGAAGTTTTCTCATATAGAGGAAAAAGAACATTTTAAAAGTTCAATTACAAAGAAACAAAATCTAAAATAGGTAACTTTTTTTTTATAGGTAACTTTTTTAGCAAGCTGTGTTAACATTCTGTTACTCTGCAGCTGAACTTCAACAAAAATAGTTCATTTTAATCCCTTACATAAGAACAACAGATGTGCTGGCTACAAATCACATTTTTGAAAAAGACAATCTTTGTAGTATACATGTAGATATGTCAACCTTGTAAATAAGCGTGCTTCCCACACCACAAATTGCCAGGTCATAAATTTTTAAAATCTATTCTTTTGTCCTCCATACAACACAGTATTTCACCATTTTAGGTAAGTGTTAGAATCACAATAAATGTAATCAAGTTCTGAACAAGTTGGGGAAAAGTCTATTTTTCACAAAAAATATAAAACTTTTTTTCTTGTTTTTTTTTTTGTAGATTCATGCATTTATACCTATATGTTGACATTCGGTACACTTTTAGAATTCCCAGAGAGAAGCTACGTAGCCTTTCTCATAATCTCATTCTTAAATAAACCAACTTGTGACAAAATTCATTCCTTTTTTTTTTTTTAAACTAGGGAATTGGGGGAGGGAAACAGTGTTCAGGAATTGGGGAAGGGGACCAGCCAAGTTGTTGTTCTTCAATCTTAGTTGTGGAGGGTGCCAGTCGCCATTTGGCTACCCTTCAGCAGCTCATGGCCTCTAAGCTCAAGGTGTTGTGTTCAATCTTAGTTGCGGGTGGGTGTAGCCACCATCCTATGTGGGAGTTGAACCAGCAGCCTTGCTGTTAAGAGTGCACGCTCTATCCACTGAGCTATCTAAGTGGCAACTCAGCTCAAGGTGCCGAGTTCAGTCTTAGTTGTGGGCAGGTGTAGCCCACCATCGAACAAGCAGTCTTTTTTTTTTTTTAAAACATTTTATTTGGGAATTGGGGGAAGGGGAACAGACAAGTTGTTGTTGTTTTGTTCTTCAGTCTAGTTGTGGAGGATGTTGCTTCACTGGCCCAAGTTGGTCTCTGGATGGCTGCTCTCGGCGGCTCTTGGCAGCTCACACCAGCTGCCGGCCGCTCACGCTAGCTGCTGGCCACACATGGTAGCTTATGGAAGCTCACTGCAGCAGGGGACTGCAGCCTACCCCATCGCCGGCGACCCATGGCAGCCCAGCTCCAGGTCGAGCTGTTGTTCAGCATCTTAGCTGTAGAGGGCAGTGTTACTGGCCTTCATATGTGGGATCTGAACCGGGGCTCTCTGGCATCCCAAGCCAGTTCTTAACCAACGCACCACTCAGCCGCCCGAACAGGCAGTCTTGTTGTTACACCATCTGAGCCATCCTGCCACCTGTTGGCAGCTCAGTGGCAGATCACCTTGGGTGTAGCGTCACTGGCCCATGTGGGAATTGAACTGGCGGCCCTGTTGCTCAGAGCTCACGCTCTTAAGCTAGCTCTTAATCAACTGAGCCACTCGGATGACCCCACATTCCTTCTTCTAACTGTAACAACTTTTTAAAAATTATGTCCTTTTAGTTCGGTCTCTTTAGAGAAGAGGTATATCTGGACAAGGGTAGTTGTTCTTGCTCCTTAACTGACATTTCATGTAGAAAGCTCTAATTAAGGCAACCTCAGCCTCCCCTTCCTAGGAACAAAGTTTACTCTTCCTTATTTCTTTTGCCCCAATTACCCTCCTTACAAATTGTGCTGAGCTTATTTTCTTATATGATTATATTTCCCTTTCTGGTTGGCAACTGATTACTTTAAAATGTGAACTTACCATGTTACCTATTTATTCAAGAATTGCTAGTATAAAATATGAATATGAGTCACTGAAAAGGGAGTTAAATTTCCTGGTTAAAACATTCTGTTCCAAACCTTAAAGAATTTTAATTATGGTCAAAGAGTCCCAAAAGACCTTAATTCAATGTTACTGGCCATGCGTTCTCTTCATCAAGGTTTCACTGTGGGTCAATTATTATTACACATGCCGTCCTGACTCTTCATCGTTATGGACATACTGTAGCGTGTTAGCAAAGTGTAAAAGGAGAGAACGCCTTCTTATCACTTGGTGAGTGGGAGCCAATGGGTTGGAAACATATTTTCTGGATTACTATAGGACCAAGAAAACTTTGTTTAAAATTAGCCTGTGAAACACATATATTGGTACTTTGATTTTCTAATATCTAAGTGTAATGTAGCATGTTAACTTGTTTTATATAATTTCACTTTTATTCACATTAAGTAAATGATGTAATTAGCAAACTCATCAAAGGATTTTGGTGCTTGCTTTTTTCGCCCCAAAATAACTTCATTAAGGTATAATTTATATGCCACACATTCACCTTTCTTAAATGTATAAGTCCATAATTTTTAGTAAATTTATTGAATTGCACAACCATCGCCACAATCCCATTTTGTTTTTTTTCTGTGTGTTTATTTGTTTGGCTTCTTGCTAGATATTTTTATTTTTTAAAATTACAGTTGACATAGAATATTGTGTCAGTCTCAAGCGTACAATATAGTGATTCAGCACTATGATCACCATGATAAGTCCAGTACCCATGGGTCATAGTACACAATTATTACGATATTATTGACTGTGTTCCTCCCTATGCTGTACATTACATCCTATGGCTTATTTTATAACTGAAAATGTGTACTTCTTAATCCCCCAACACAATCCAATTCTGGAACATTTCCATCAGCCCAAAAAGATTCCTTATTCCAATTCCCAGTCCTAGTCATCCACTAATATACTTTCTGTCACTCTATAACTGCCTTTTCTGGACCATTTATATACATGGAATCATCTAACATATGGTCTTTTCTTCTGGCTTTTTCAGCTTGGCAAAACGCTCTTAAGGATCACCATGCTTCAAGGATCACCATGGTTGGTACTTCAAGCCCTGTTACTCCTGAACAGTATTCCAAGGCATGGATATACCACACTGCTAACCAATCAATCAACGGCCATTTGCTGGGTTGTATGGTGAATGTGTATTTGACTTTTTAAGAAACTGCCAATTGTTTTCCAATACAGTTTCACCATTTTATATTCCTACCAGCAATGAATGAGGGTTGCAATTC